TTTTGGTGCCGAAACCCGGGATCACTATCCATTCATTTGTTGATGGTCACTTAGGTTGTTTCCAACTCCTTGCTATTGTGAACAAATCTGCAATAAACGTGGGTATGCATATATATGCTTGGGTGGTGGTTATGGTTTCTTTGGAGTATATTCCCTATAGTGGAATTGCTGGGTCAAGTGGTATTTCTGTTTGCAACTTTTTGAGAAAGCGCCATACTGCCTTTCATAGTGGTTACACCATTTTACACTCCCACCAGCAGTGAATAAGGGTTCCAGTTTCTCCACAACCTCACCAGCATTTGTTGTTTGCTGTTCTGATAAGTTTTGCTGTTCTTACTGGAGTGAGATGATATGGTTGTTTTGGTTAAAGTTGTTTTTGTTGTTATGTTACCATCGAGTTAGAACTAAATTGTAGCTGACCATCCAGCAGGTTTTCAGAGGCAGTAAATCGCATGGGAGGAGATTGTCCTATCTTCTGTGGAGCAACTGCTATTTCAAACCACATGTCTTTGGATTAGTAGTGCAACTTCTTACCACTAAGCGAGCAGAGCTCCTTTATGTACACAGTACTTTTTGAAGGGTTACTGTACCTCTGTGTCTCTTAGGGTACAAATTAACTTTTCTTCTATGGTTTGGAGAGTTTACACTGGACTTGGAAATATAGTCAGTTTTTTTATTTTTTATTTTTTTTAATTATTATTTGTGTGTGTACCGTCAAATCAGATCTGACTGGTACAGGAGGAGATTGTTCCTCCTTTTCCAGCAGAGCATCTGGTGGATTTGAACCGTGGACCTCAGGGATTGCAGTGCAGCTTCTTGCCGCTAGACCACCAGAGCTCGCCTATAGCCAGTATTTTGAGGAACTTTCAGTTAAATAAATCTCTTGAAAAGGTTTTTGCTAAAGCAGGTTTTCTGTCTTTGTCATAATATACAAGCATGTTTATGAGGACGGGAATATACAAACAAATTTAACATTTTTCATAGTCCTTTAAAGTAAAAGTTTGTTTATCTGCTGATAATTTTAAAAAATTATATTTTTGGCTCTTGTTTTTAAAAGTTAAAAAAGGCATTATAAATCCTTGTTCATTTGCTTTACTTGTATTTTGATGAATAAATTGAATTCATGAACTTAGTTGTCTGTTGACTATGTTTCAGTGTAAAATTAAACTATAAACATTGAAGCAGAATTTAAGCAACCTTGCCACAGAAAAGAGGGATGTGATTTGTTGATGCTTAAGCTCTTTCCCTTTGACCTAATTTCTTTGGAGACATGATTTGTTTTTATGTTCCCAGACAGGCTTTTCCTGCCACACAGCCAATGCTGGATTAGAGGTTTTCCTCTCCTTTAATTCCTGCCCTTGTTTGCATCAGTAACAATCGTGAACTGGTGCTTCTTTACAAAATAAAGGCACTCAATGTCTTTTTGGTTAATTTGAAAAGACAGTGATATATTTGGTCTTCCTTACGTTACTAAAAATTGCTTAGAATAGTTTAATCTTTTTCTGTAGTTAAATATTTAGAGTAGTAGTTCAATATAAGCTTGGATTTTTTAAATTTGCTGCTGGTCTTTAAAAATTTTTGTTTCTGTAGCTTCAGTTTATCCAAAATATCTTTTTAATGGCCTGTGTTTAAAAATGGCAATATAATAATTAAATTTCTTTTTAAAATTTGAAAATGTCAATTTTTCCACTTACTTTGTGAAGATTTAATGTGTTGCCAATGCAGTTTTTTCTGTAATCTATGGATAAATTTTTATGAGTATACTATCCTGAGAGAAATCTCCAGTTGTTTTCCAGATTCATTTTCTCTGTAATTCTGTCTAGTTGGATTATACAAGATAACATAAAAATGTGTTACTTAGCACATGCCAGTGGGAACTCTGGTGGTCTAGTGGGTAAGGAATTATGTTGCCAACCCAGATCCACCAGCTGCTTTGTGGGAGCATGAAGGGCAATCTCCTGTGTGATTACAGCCCCTGAAAACCTGCTGGAGGGTGAGCTGTAAGTCAGTTCTGACTCAATGGCACATAACAGGAAACCCACCAGATATACCAGCAGGTGGCTATATGTGTCTTTTGCACTGTCAGTTAATAGTCTTTTTTTTTTAAAAAAAAAATTTTAATGAACATTTACAGAGAGTTTGGATTTCCATTCATTCATTGCTGCACTTCTCTCCCTGCCCAGCCCCCCGCCCCCCGCTGTCCAGTTCGCTCCTGTCTTTTAAAAGTAAAAGAAACACTCCCTCCCTGGTACACAATCCCCCCGCACCCCTCCCACCGCCCCAAGTACATTCCACTATGCAACCTTAATTGTGGACTCTTGTGATAACCATAATACCCTATCATACATCGCTTTTAAATTATTCACTCCCTCATCTGTTTCAGTGCAGTATACACGATTTATCCAGTTTTTCTCAGTCTTACCCCAACCCAGATATCAGTCCCATTTTACAGCAGTGGCACCATGCAATATTTGTCCTTTTGCGACTGAGATATTTCACTCAGCATAATGTCCTCCAGGCTCACCCATTTTTAATAATATTGCATGAGTTCTTTGTTTTTCAATGCAGCATAGTATTCCATTGTGTGAATATACCACAGCTTCTCTATCCATTTGTTTGTTGATGGGCACTTGGGTTGTTTGCAACTCCTTGCTATTGTGAACAAAGCCACAATAAACATGGGTGTGCATATATCTGCTTGGATGTCAGTTATGGTCTCTTTGGGATATATTCCCAGTAGTGGAATTGCTGGGTCAAATGGTATCTCTGTTTGCAACTTTTTGAGAGAGCACCATACCGCCTTCCACAGTGGTTGCACCAAGTTAATAGTCTTTTGAGGATTCTCTGCCATGCTGCTTTTTGAAGTAGAGCTACACTTAAAAGTGGTTAAGAATGTATGTCTACATCCAAGAGCCATATTCTTAGGAAAAAAAAGAAAGGCAGTTGGTGAAGGGAGAATCACTTTTGGCTTTGTAGAAGCTGTTCTGTGTTGGTGAAGTCAAATTAAGAAACTTCATACTTTCAGTGGTCCTTGTGTTGCGTTTGAAAGCAGCATGATGATCCTTAAATCAATAATATAACTGAGAAAGTTCTTACTTTGTTGGTTTCCTACTGGCTTTAGATCAAATAGGAATTAGTGGAGTTTGCTGTTGATTGCTTTTGTGTCGAGCATGATTCTAATGTCCCTGTGAACAAAAGGCGTGAAGCACCTCTACAACTGTCAATGTTTATCAAAGTTCATAGGGTTTCGGAGGCATGTTGTTTAAGTGGATGCCTCTCCTGCTTCCAAACTTGTCATAGTATGTTATTGTTTTTATATGCCATTGAGTTGCTTGCGATGTATAGCGGAGTAGTTAAGATGAAAGTAGTAACTAAGGTATGAAATACTTTCTACAAAGTTACTTCTGTTTTGGAAAAAGACCTCACACTTGGAAAGTTGGAGGGTCAGCAGAAGAGAGGAAGACTCTCTGCGGGATGGCTTGACACAGAGACTGCAGCACTGGGTTCAAGTGTGTCAGAAATTATGAGAATTGCACCCGATAGGACACAATTTAGATCTGTTGTTGATAGGGTCGCTGTGAGTCATACTTGACTCACTAGCACCTGACAGCAACAACAAAGTTACGGTTTTAAAATGTTCATGGTTTCTGAGAACCCAAAGCACACATCTTTTTACGTTTTTAGGAACTACAATAGATTTCCTTGTACTTCTCTGTGCATTTGAAAATTTTCCTAATGTCATAAATAGGTTACTCTTCTTGTACTTAAAGCTCTAGTGGCTTAGTGGTAAAGAATTGTGTTGCCAAACCAAAGGTTTGAAATTCTAATCCAGAGCAGCTCCATAGGAGAAAGATGGGGGGCAGTCTCCTCCCATGCGAAAACCTGCTTGAGGATCAGATGTGTGTTGCTTCTGATTCAGTGATATTCAACAGCTACAACTTAGCCTTTGCTTTTTTCCACAGTTTCTTCAAGTGTTTTGAGAAAGAAATTATTACTCCATATTATCACAGTGGTAATTTTTAAAGTTAGCTTTAGTGTATGGAGAGAAACTCCGAGCCCTGGCAGTGCCACTAATAAGCTGTCAGCTGCTTATGGAAAGGTTGACACTTCATACCCACCAGCTGCTTCATGGGAGAAAGATGTAGCTGGTTGATTCCATAATGATTTAAATCCTACGTTGGAAGACCAAGGGACAGTTCTACTCTTTCTTGGGGATCAGATTGAGTCAGAATCAACTTGATAGCAGTGGATTTAGATTAATAAAAGGGAAGTAGAATCAAAACCAATCTTTTCTATGAATGACGTATATCATAAAATGAAAGAACTTAGTGGAAATGAAGATTGTGTACTAGGTTTTCTATAGAAGACAAACCAGCCAAGCTATATATATCTGTGTCTCTATATAACTGGCAAGTTCCAGGTCTGTAGTTCAGACCTCAAGAGAGTCATCAACTGTGTGTGTCCAAATTGTCAGCAGATAAGCAGGGTTGCTGCTAGCTTTGGAGGCTGCCAACTTCAGAGACCAACATGTCTAAAAGTCTGTGGGAAAGTAGCATTGCTGACAGCTGTCTTTGGAAGACATGGTTCCAACATCAGCAAGTACAGCAGGTTCGAGTCTAGAGACTTAAGAGCCAGTTGGACAGACGTAGGATCAGCCAAAAAGCTATCTAGAGGCCTGGCATAGCCAATGCAGGCCACACATATGAGACTCCCATTAATGAAATAAGGTTGATCATATCTTTACAAAACTGCTTCTAATAATTCTGGTTTACTAACATTATAGAGGTTAGAATTTACATTATACTGAAGATCATGGCCACCTGGACATAGAATATTAACTGTCAAAAAAACTCTGCATGAACTAGATGTTGTTTCTTGTGGCTCATGAACTAGAACAAAGTTTATTTCTGAAGTGCATAGGTTTCTTTTATAGTGAATCTTTAAATGTAAACACTTTGAATTCTTTGCAATCCTCTGCTGACCTTTAATTTCTTTTACAGCATCCACTCGGTTTGTGAAGTGTGAAAAATGTCATCATTTTTTTGTTGTGCTATCTGAAGCAGACTCAAAGAAAAGCATAATTAAGGAGCCTGAATCAGCAGCAGAAGCTGTAAAATTGGCATTCCAACAGAAGCCACCGCCCCCTCCCAAGAAGGTATAAGTCTTAGCTCAATCTTTATTTTGGAAACATTTTTTTCCCTTCATTTATAACTGAATCCCAATGCTAGTATGTAAACAAAGTATAAGAAGATTTTTACTCACTCACCGACATCAGATTGGTTTCAGCTCATAGAGACCCTCCAGTATGTTTCTGAGGCTGTAAATGACAGTAGGAGGAGATTGCCCTCTTTCTCCTATCTGGCTGCTGGTGGATTTGAACCACCAGGGACTCGCATCTTTTCATGAGCAGAACAACTCACGACAGACAAGACTACACCACCAAAGCACAGTTCTTAGAGTAGATTATAAAGCTAAGTTATTAATGGTATTTGGAATTTAGATACAAAGTTAATTTTGGGGTTCCCCCCACCCTCATATCATGTTTTCTACATTCAGTAAAAATGAAATATAGTTAACTGTTAAAATCATGTTAATATCAAGTTAATCTAAAATAATATAGATTTATTTCTGTTTTCTTGGGCCCCTAGATAATTACTAGCCTGCATTTTTTTTCCTCTTGAGCTAGTCTATTATATGTTCAAACAGCTTTCATTCTACCAATGTAACAAGTCAATTACTGGCATTAGTGATGTGGCTCTCTTCTGTCGCTGTGTAGTTTGGCTTCAGCCCGGGAATCCCACGTGGAGTGTGTTTTGTCCTCATGAAACAGAGGAAAGGACAGGATACTGAGTGTATGCACTCTTAAGAACTGCAGCCCAGTCCCGGGCTGTGGGCTCTCCATGCCACTGAGGTCTCGAGTGTTTGCACACTTACACCTTCTGCCTCCGTATAATCCTCTTCTCCTGTGCTTAAAATCCTACCACATTGTTCTTTACTTGCAAATGTGCTATAACCAGAATGCTCCTCAGTTGTAAGGATGGCAAGACTTCATCTGACATACCTTGGCCATTTTATTAGGAAGAGTCGCTTTCTGGAGAATGGCATCACACTTAGTAAAGTTAAAGGAACTGTGAAAAAGAGGAAGACACTCAGCAAGTTGAATTCACACAGTGACTGTGGTTGTTGGCCCAAGCGCAGCAGCAGGTGTAAGGATGGGGCGAATCAGGCAGTTCTTCACTTGTACGTAGAGCTGCTATGAGTTGGAACCTGGTTGAATGGCTCCTAACAGCAGCAATTTAAAGGAATGAGGAAGATTTTTAAAACCCATAAGAAAGAGTATATGTTAACATAAGTGCTTAAATGTGTGTCACAGACAATTAATAGGAAAAGACAGCTAATAAGCTTTATATCCTCCACTAATTTGTAAAAGCATTTGTTACTACCCAAGTCAAAGTACTAGACTACTAATTACTGTATCTATTTTCAAAAGCTGGTAAATAGTCACAGTTCATTTCTGTCCTTTAAGAGCCAAAGAATTTGCCCCAAGTTCCAAGCTATTGGTAATGCATAGAACTATATTTTAGAATAAAGCTTTTAGATTACCAGTTAAATAAATTACCAACTTTATTGTTAATACCTGATTTATAAAACTAAATATGAAAGTAAAATGCATGGATACTGGTATTGACTATATAATGTTTTTCCTAAACAAGATTAATTTTATAATACATTATTGTTAAAAATATTATTCTTATGATTGAGAGAGCTGTACAGGTTTTAATTTGATGAATTGTATTAATGATACCTTTAAATCCACAATGGCTTGTGTAAATTTACTATTGTTAAAAAATCGGGCTCAATCTCATTATTTATAGAATGGAAACTAGCATAATATTAGTAGTGTACAGACATACAAGTGAATTGTAGTTTTGTTCATTTAGGTACATCATAAAGGACCTGTGAATCATTGTGGCATAATGCATCATGCCATCATGCCCTTTGCATTTAATTTCTAATGAATATTTTTTATCTGACTTTTAAAAAAATATGATCCGTATATGACCTCTTAATGTATAAAAACCTTTGTTTTTATGCTAGTTTATAGTAAGTTAATAATCTAATAATTTTTCAGATTTATAACTACCTCGACAAGTATGTTGTTGGCCAGTCGTTTGCTAAGAAGGTGCTTTCAGTTGCTGTGTACAATCATTATAAGAGAATATATAATAATATCCCAGCTAATCTGAGACAGCAGACAGAGGTGGAGAAGCAAACATCATTAACACCTCGAGGTTAGTGGTTTTTTGATAGTTAGCTAAAATAGAGATTCCTGTATTTAGAAGTAATCTTTATTTATAACTTCTTGCTTTGATCTTAATGTTTTTATCATAGTACAGTTTTATCAAGGTTTGGGTCACTCTTCCCAATAATGGATGATGAATTAATTTTGATTGGTTGCCAATAGCACTTTTTAAATAGTAGGTGAGACTAGACAATCCCACATTATATTAATTTTTAGTTAAGGTAAGTGTTATTTCTGAAAACATTTCAGTTATGTGTAAGAGTACCAAGTCACAGATTAAAATGTCTTGTCTTTTTGGTTGTGTTAATTAATAAAAAATATTTGAGAGCCATTGGGAGTCATGGAGATGTAAAGACACATCATCTACTATCACTCTTTTAGACCTCAGCTGCAGAGTGCAAGGATAAGGGCAAATGTGTAAATAATTCAAAGGGTAATTTCTAGAATTTCTGTTCACTTTCTCTTTATTGTGGACAATAAAGAGCATTAGTCTTATTAAAAATTAACATTAGTAACATCTAAATATTGAACTGATTTAAATGAGGATACTTGTTGAACTAACAGAAGAACATTTATGTTGTAGTAAAGTTACTTTTTTAAAAAATTACTTTATAAATATGTCATAATAACAAATGGAAGATTTGGAAATTTCATAAGGTCCAGATAAGGTTAGCCATGGAGCAAAATTATTTTTTCTGGTTCATTCAGTAAAACTGCTCCAGATATTGAAAGAACAAATGGTTATGAACGTGAGGAGTTTTAACCCTTTACTGAAGACTTAAATAGTTACCATTCTTTTTAAAATAATACAACTTGGTATGTGAAAACTCTGAATATTAGATATTAGATAGCCTTTATTTAACATTTGAGGGTTTCTTTAAATATAGAAAGAGTGAAGCATTTTAGACTATTTTAAATGCTAAAAGTTGAAAACATTTAATGAACACATTTCTTAAATAGATGAAAAACAAAAAGGCAGTATTTATCCTAAAACAAAGATCAAAAGGCAGGAAAGAAAGACATATGTAAATTGGGAATGCAGGGAGGACGTGGGAAGAGTGCTGCTACATTGAGGGCGTTGCAACTAAAGTCATGGCAAGTAAGTTGTTGATTGGAAAATTAAGGTGCTCTGTAAACTTTAATCCAGATTGCAAAAAAATACAGATATATTTGGAAGAGGGCAAGAAGTGGGATACTCCTTATTTATTCCCCAAACTAAACAATATGTGATATTTTCATGTTACCATTTTCATCCTCTTTCTTAGAGTTAGAAATAAGAAGACGGGAGGATGAGTACAGATTTACAAGTAAGTGCTCTCTCCTCAGGTCCTCCTCTGTAATCATTCTTCCTTTTGAGATTCACCCCTGTTAACGTGTGTCAGCAATATTAACCGTAATCATGTACTTCCTGGGGTAGTCCAAGAAAGATGTAATTTTTTCTAAATGTGTTTGTAATATGTGGTATATGAAACTTTGGGGTAGTTTTCATAACAGATTGGTGGTGGTATTTCAGCTATTTGATGTTACTTTGTTGTGCTGTTTCTTAAAGCATAACTTAGCCACATATCTAGGTTACTATTTAGTTAGGTTTTTGGTTTGTTTGGTTTTTTTTTTCAAATTACAATTATCTCCTTCCTAAACAACATGCCTCTGGAAACTCTGAACTTTGATAAATGTTGATAGTTATAGATGAGCTTCAGGCCTTTTGTTCATAGGGTTGCTATGAGTCATGCTCAACTTGAAGGCAGTCAACAACAACAACAACAAAAGGTGTAGATTATCTTTTTTGCCAGAAACTACATTATTTATTTTTTTTTGTTTTTGTGAAATTTAGTGTGTGTATATAGCTATATCTATATATCCTTGCAAATTATGAATAAGCTTCAAATCACTGTTTCCTGCCCTGAATTGCCACCATAAAGTTCAGATGGTCTGACAGGCTCTGAAAGAACCTCATAAACCAAGGAGAGAAGCCGTCCAGTTCTCTTGCATCTTGCTTCAGTGGTGCTCCATGTAGGAGCTGCACTGAGAGTGAAAATTCTGACCCTGTTATACCAAGATCCACATGACCTTCTATTATTTCACTAATTAGAAAACAAAACATACTAGTAGATCAAGTTCTATGTGTGGTTTTTTAAAACAGGTATTTTTTTACTATTTGCCTTTGAAGCAGACATTATTATTATTATTATTATTATTGTTATTATTATTATTTTTAATTACATCTAGTATTTGAAGTGGCTAAGTGACTATGATCTGTTTGGAAGCAGGAGTGGCACCCACTTCTTAAACAACATGCCTCTGGAAACTATGAACTTTGTCGATAGTTGTACAGGAACTTTAGGCCTTTTGTTCATAGGGTCACTATGAGTTGTTCTCAACTTGAATGCAATCAACAACAACAACATGATCCTGTAGTCCCTAGGGAGTTTCACCACTAACCCAAAGGCCCTGCCTTTCTGGCACTTAGAATCCACCAACTGATTTTGGGGGGAAGAGAAGGGCAGTCTCTTTCTGTGTTATTTACAGCCTTAGAAACCTAGTCAGGGTCAATGATGAGTTGATTCTGACTCAACAGCAAAAAAGAGAGACACAAGATAAGCCAGGAGAAGAACATACCTGGTTTATCAACTCTGGCATGATATTTATTTATTACAAGTAGTAGAGATCTAAGATCCCTTGTTGTTATGTATTATTTATTACATATAATAGAGTTCTAAGATCCCTTGTTATGTACCATTGAGTCAGAACCAACCCACAGCTTACCCTGCAGCAGCTTTTCTGAGGCTGTAAATCACATAGGAGTAGATTGCCCATCTTTCTCCTATGGAGCAGCTGGTAGATTTGAACCATGTGCCTTTGGATTGACAACATAGTTCCTTATCTCAAGGCCACCATTTCTAAAATTGATAAGACAGATAATCCCTTACTTGGTTGGAAGGAGCCATAGCGGAACTCTTTTCTTCAAAGTCAATTCAGTATGCACTTTTGTGACCCTAAAAAATATACTCAGGACAGTGCAGTTAAGATAAGGAAAAAGTCTTTGTCCTCAGAAGACTTAAATTTCTAGTATTAAAGACTACTTATTAGATTTGGAAAGCAGTCACATCGGAGGAAGAGATAAGAACCAGGTCTAGTTCTGGCTCTTTACAAATTATATGTAAATATGATTATATTGTGCATAGTAAAATGAGGAACATAAGTAGAGTAGAAAAAGACTATAGATAAGAAAGGAAGAGCTAAATAAATAATATACTTTATATAGCTGTATAATTTATATTTTATAATTCAGAAAATGACTAAAATGGTACATTCATTAGTTTAGGGTGATGGTTGCGGAACTAGTATGAATTGGTAAAGAAAAAGTCAGTCGTGAATATTTTGAAAGAAATAACCTTGTGGTACATGAACTGACTTACTGAAATTTCAATATTAACAAGTAAGAGTGTTCAAGAGTTTAGATTTTAAAAATTTACATTTACACTGAATGACTTGGAAATTGGTATTTTTAAATAATTTTTCTTTATGTACAATTCAGTCCTAACCTATGTGTAGTTTAGGTTATAAAGTTAAAAATATTACATCAAAATCATATGTAGTCACAATTGTTCCTGCTGTTTCTTGGAAATTGCATGTTACTGCATGCTGCTCCTTGTGAGACTGACAGAACTGGTTTTCCCTCCATCATTGGGTCAGAGTATCTTCCAGGGTGAGCATCAGATTGTTGGCTTGCGTTTAATTCTTGTGGTGAACAAATTATTAGTTAAGCACTAGAAAAATAACAATAATAAAAGTGAATTTTTAACAGTCTGCCAGGCACTGTTCTGAATCCTTCACATATATAAATTTGCTTGATTTCCCCCAAACTATGTTAAGATAAAACTATGACATTTTCACACCCCCACTTTCCAAATGAGAAATTGAAGCACAGAATTTTAAGTAATTTTCCCAGGACCACACAGCTGATGGGTTCAGTGCATCTACTTACTTAGTACTCTAGATTGTTCCCGCCTCATCCTCATCACAGAGAACATCTATTCAAAAGAGGAGATGTGCAGGAATGGTGGAGAGTCCGCTCTCTGTGCCATATTCTCATAAAATAGTGTGATAGAGCCATCTGTACTATTTAAATTCTCGTTTTAGCTTAAATATGTGTGTTAGTGATTTCATGTGTGTTATGTGTAGTTAATAGGCCTCTGGCAATTTTGTTCTAATTATTCATGGAAATAATTGGGCAGAGCTAAATTTGAGGCAAGCCCTTTCCTAATTAGATTTTGCTGAAATAAAGACAATGTTGGTGGTGTGAAGTCTAGCTCAGCAACTGAACTCGTGTTCTTCCTGCTATAGACGTAATGACGTCTATAGACGTATGGTGAATCACTAATTATTAATCTTTAAATGTAGCAAAACTTAAATTCAAAGGTTTCTAGAATGTCTGGTAATTGAACTATTCCTTTACATTATGTTGCTTAGGGTTATTGCTAAGGAAGTTTGAAAGTGACAACCAGATGAAATAGGACCTTAATGATAGCTTTATCTGCTGAAATATTATGCTATCATTCATTTATTTAAGTAATGATATATTAGAAGGTGCTGAAGTTCTTAACTCATTGACTAAAAACTACCCCAGAATAAATTCAGAAGCTATGAACATATATGATTTTAGATAATCAGAAATTAAGAGAACCAGGTATAATCCTGGTATTTTCTGATCAAATAATCTGAAAAGAGGATTTTAACTCTTTCCTCCCTCAGCTAAGAGGGGAAAAATGTTTTTAGGAACCCACCTGATAAACTGATAACTTCACTAGAAATTTCAAAGCCTATCTAGTTAAGTGTTTTGTTTCTGTTAGAGGAACAATAAAGATGCAGTTGAGAGCCTATAAGAAAGATCGAGACAGGTTTAGGAATAGTGAGATTGACAGCGTTTGGTTCCCTGGTAGACTTCAGGGAGTCCTGGCAATATAGCAGGTTATGTGTTAAGCTGCTAAGCAGAAAGTTGCCAATTCAAACCCACCATGGGAAAAAAATGAAGTAATCTCAACCTGTTAAGATTTACAGCCTTAGAAATCTGACAGAGGGTTGCCATGAGTCAGAATTGACCTGATGACGGTGAGTTTGGGGGTTTTTGTTTTTATGGACTATGGAATTATTTTTAGGGAGCTCTGGTGGCCTAGTGGTAAGAAGCTGCACTGCAATTCCAAAGGCACACAGTTCGAGGCCACCAGCTGCTTCAAGGGAGAAGGATGGGCAGTCTTCTCCCATGCCATTAATTGTCTCTGAAAACCCACTGGAGGGTCAGCTATGGGTCAGTTCTGATTCTGACTCAACAACAATGTGGACTATAGAATACTTTTTAGAAGTGAAAGGAAAGTTGTCTGTTGCCTGTATGCTTTCTTTACTGGTAAAGAAGCTCAGGAAAGTTAAGTGACAATAAAACTAAGATAGCCCAAGTTATCTAATTAATTCTCAGTTCAGTGTTCCTGTCACTAACCAGATTTTTCATTTGTAGCAGGGAATGGAGAGGGGAGAGAGAGAGAGAGAGAGAGAGAGAGAGAGAGAGAGAGAGAGTGTGTGTGTGTGTGTGTGTGTGTGTGTGTGTGTGAGAGAGAGAGAGAGAGAGATAAATGAAACTTGGGGGTGTAATCTGTAAGCAGTTATACTGCTAACCCAAAGGCAGCATCCCATGCCAGTTAGAATCCAGCAACAGCTCCACTGGAGAAAAATGAGCAGTCTCCTTCCCTGTGATTTATAGCCTCTGCAGACTCACAGGAGAGTCAGCTAAGAGTTGGTTCTTACTTGACAGCCATGAGAGTGTTATATTTATCTATCTAACTATCTATCTATCTATCTATCCATCTATCTATCTGCCATCTTTGCTTAATCTTTCAGGGTGCCTCCAAAGACATTTTATTTTCACCTTTTCTAGCAATGCATTTTAAGTTGATAGGACAGGTTTTATTGCCATTTTATAGACCAGCCAGGAAACATACAAAATTTGTATGACTACTCAAGATCATAGGGCTATTTAGAAACAAAGACAAATCTAAAACTTTTACTTCCAGGACTGTTCCTCAGTTATGCTGCCTTTTCTTACTTCCTCTCTTATGTAAATAAGGAGAATAAAAAGAACCCATTTTATTTCCTTGCAGAATCTTGTATAAAGTGGTTACTGTGTATTTGTCACTAGGTAGGGTGGGGGAATCTACCCCATTTAGATAAGCCAGAGTACCAAATATTTAAATATTTCTGAATAGATTTGTGGTTTTACAAATAGAATCTTAACTGTTTTTTTCGGGTGAGTTGAATTGACGCTCTAGTAATTTTTTTCCAGAATTGCTTCAGATCGCTGGAATTAGTCCACATGGTAATGCTTTAGGAGCATCAATGCAGCAGCAGGTAAATCAACAAGTACCTCAGGAAAAGCGAGGTGGCGAAGTGTTGGATTCTTCTCATGATGACATAAAACTTGAAAAAAGTAATATTTTGCTGCTTGGACCAACAGGATCAGGTAAAATAACTTACTAAGAAAGCATACGACCAAGTTGTTTGTTTTTTTTTAATAATTTTAATGAACGTTTACAGAGAACTTGGATTTCCATTCATTCATTGCTGCACTTCTCTACCCGCCCAGCCCTCTCCCCCCGCCCCCCAGTTCACTCTTCTCTTTCAAAAGTAAAAGAAAGACTCCCTCCCTGGTACACAATCCCCCCGCACCCCTCCCACTGTCCCAAGCACATTCCACTATGCAACCTTAATTGTGGACTCTTGTGATAACCATAATACCCTATCATACATCGCTTTTAAATTATTCAGTCCCTCATCTGTTTCAGTGCAGTATACACAATTTATCCAGTGAGACGACTCAGTTTTTTTACAAATAGAATATAAATTATTTCATTGTTGTGTCTTATTGGGAGAATCTGCTCTTTAGAAAAAATAAAACAGCCTTATATTAACCTATCACTGATATCATTGTCCCTGCTTGGATTTAAGTGGAATGTAAGCGTTGCTGTTTGTCTGTTAGGTCAGTCTCTAAAATCTTTATATTGTTGTTGTTGTTCTTGTTATGTGTCATCAAGTTGACTACAACTCATAGTGACCCTATGCCCAATAGCTCTGAATCCTGCTCTATACTAAGCCAATCTAATTGTCTCTGACACACCTACACTCATTACCCCAATTGTTGTGTCAGTCTATCTCATTTGGGATCTTCTTTCCTGTGCTGTCCTCAGCCCTTCCAAGCATGCCCTTCTCCAAAGACTGGTCCCTCCTGGCTACATACCCAAAGTGAGTGAAAACAGTCTCAAAATCCTTACCTCCAAGGAGCAGCCTGATTTCACCCTTTCTAGGACAGACCTGATAGTTCTCGTGGTAGTCTGTGGTATGCTCACTATGCTTCTCCAGCACCACAACTCAAAGGCATGTATAGTTCTCCTGTCATCCATGGTCCAGCTCTCTGATGCAAAGCAAGTAATTACAAAAACCATGGCCTGGATCAGGCACTGTAATTTATAAAAATACATAAAAGAGTCAGTTATAGTAATACAGAGAAAAGGTGAAACGTCTTTTTATATATACTGCAAATTTATTTTTATATTTTTATTCATATCAACATAATTCTAGTAATTTATTTTTTCCTCCTCTATTTCTAGGTAAAACTCTACTGGCACAAACACTAGCTAAATGCCTTGATGTCCCCTTTGCCATCTGTGACTGTACGACTTTGACTCAGGCTGGATATGTGGGTGAAGATATTGAATCTGTGATTGCCAAGCTACTCCAGGATGCCAATTATAATGTAGAAAAAGCACAACAAGGTATGTTTTCAGTGTAACTTGGTATAATCTATTGGGGATATAATCTAAGATAAGATAATATTTTGAGCTAATAAATCCTAAAATTTTGCAGTTACATAAAAACATCTATGATACACTTAATATTAATACACCAATTAGGGCTACAAAGTTTGCTTTGCCTTAGTGTCAGCTAAGATGACAACTGTGTGAAAGGCCAAATGACTATTCCATTGAGTCCTCACTACCATTATTATTGTTCTTGGTTTTCCCTCTTCCAGACTCTTAATATTGGGATTAGGGTAGGCTGGAGCCAAGGAGAGAGCAGTGTGAGTCTAGAAGCCATCACTGAGCACTGTGGAGTCAGACCGACCCATAGCTGGCCCTCTATTGGGTTTTCAGAGACACTAAATTACATGGAAGGAGATTGCCCATCTTTCTCCTGCAGAGCAGCAGTAGGTGGCTGCATTTCTCTTTCCACCTTCTGTCCTCCTTTATGTGAAGAGCTTAACAGCTTATCTAAATTCCTTTAAGATAAGAATAAACTAAAATTTTATTCTTACCATCACTTCATATAATATCTCTGCTTCTACACTTTGCTACCATCTCGGCTTCCTAACATAAAGAACCTGCAAATATTAATAGGGTAGGAATTTTTTATCAAAATGCTTATATCCAAATAATATACTTTAAAGGGAGTTCTTGTGGCCTAGAGGCAAGAACCTGCGCTGTGTGGTTTGAATCTACCAGATGCTCTGCTGGAGGAGGAGGGGCAGTATCCTCCTGTTCCAGTAGGATCCAATTCAACAGTACACAACAAGAAAGAAATGTCATGCCAGATAATATTCTATAAGCCATTAGCATAGAATGAATGAGAGAGACAGATGATGATGTTAGGTGCTGTTGAGCTGACTATGGCTCATAGTGACCCTGTGAACAAGGACTCTGAACCTTTCCCTATTCTGAGCCATTCTCACCATCATCTGATATACTTGACCCCATTGCCATAGTCACTGTATCAATCCATGTCATCCAGGGTCTTCCTCTCCTCCGCTGGTCCCGCTGGCATACGCCCAAAGTTATGTGAGATTGTCTCAAAGGAGCAACCTAGTTTCACTTTCTCCATTGCATTTGTTAAATGTGAAGCATTAAATAACCTTGCTCAGTAGCTACCTAGCCATTTAAAGTGGAGATTATTGTATCTTTTGAAATTATAAATAAAATCCTTCTTAAATTGTAGGAATTGTCTTTCTGGATGAAGTAGATAAGATTGGCAGTGTGCCAGGCATTCATCAGTTACGGGATGTAGGTGGAGAAGGCGTTCAGCAAGTAAGCAGTTGAATATTTTGTTCAAGTCTACTAAAAAGAAGGGAATACATCAGCCTCCCAAATATTGTACGTTTGGTTTCACATTCAATTAGATTCTATTTTGTTTCTTTTTCTCACCCTGAAGTCTATATACCATTTAAAAGTAGTTCATATCCTAAGATAAAGTTATTGTTGGCTATTTTAAATATCAAATTACTTGTCGTAGGAAATAAAATATTTTTAATAGCAGAGATGCTTTGTTTTCGTCTTCAAAGATCTATTTCTATTTCTGGAAAACTCGTAGAAAGTAAGTTCTGGTTCTAATAGACATGAATATACATGTTTTCATTCCTTCCACTTAGTTTGTAAGTATAAAACAGTATTTCATTCTTTGAAGTGTTGTAATTGAAGTCATAATAATCTAATGGCCAACTTCACTTTTCAATGGTAAATAATTATGACACAAACTAAAGGGTGAGGAAAATTGCTTCAGTTTTTTGAACCGAGTCAGAGAAATGTGGTCACACATAAATGTACTATTAGGATTAGAATAGAATTTATATGAAAAACAGATTTCAAATTTTCTATGTTCCCACCATTGTAAGTACTCACTATATTATAGTCAATAAAGAATTACTGGTTTTTTTTTTGTTTTGTTTTTATTAAAAATAATTTCTATGGTTGATTATTTCCTGAGTTACAATGTATCAAAATTCCTTTAGCCAGTCCAAAGAAATGTAATGATTCTTAAGATGGTGCAATAGCAACCATGGTAGGGCTGTGTTTAAAGTGTTTGACTGCTAACCAAAAGGTCTGTGAGTTAATACCATTAGCTGCCCCTAGGAGAAAGCTGTGACAGTTTTCTTCAGTAAAGATTATGTTCTTGGAAACCTTAGGAGACTGTTAGTTCTACTTTGTCCCACAAGGTCTTGGAGTCAGAATTGACTCAGCAAGCAGCCAGCAAGCTTGGTTTTTGGTTAAGTGTGGTGAATGCTTTGTCTCTTCATGTTAATTTGTAGAAATTTTCTCAGTACTCCTTGACTATAGTCGTATTACTTTCCCCAGTAAGTCTCATTATCCAATATTCAAAACTCATCGCATCAAGTCTGAACCACTTTGTAGCTGACTCTCCATTAGATTTTTCCAGTGCTGTAAGTTTCATGAGAGGAGATGGCCTGTCTTTCTCCTGAGGAGCCTGGATTTGAACCACCAGGGAGGTGTGGCCTTTGGGTCAGCAGCACAACTCCCCATGCACTAGGCCACCAGTGCTTCTCTTGTTATCTAGCGTATAGGATAATGCACTTCACGATGATGATGTCAGTTATCCGTTCTTTATTTAGGGCTTACTAAAACTACTGGAAGGTACAATAGTCAATGTTCCAGAAAAGAATTCTCGCAAGCTCCGTGGTGAGACAGTACAAGTTGACACAACAAATATCTTGTTTGTTGCGTCTGGTGCTTTCAATGGCCTGGACAGAATCATCAGCAGGAGGAAAAATGAAAAGGTAAGGGGTTTTGTGATTTTTGTTTGTTTGTTTGTTTGTTTTTAGGTTCCTGGTAGAATGGAGAGTATTTAAAATTACAGAGAATAGACACTTGGTTTCTAGTGTACTATTTGTCAGATTCACAACTGTTGTGGATTGTTAACAGAGTTGAATTGCCTGAAATAGATTACTAGTGGTTTTAAAAAATTTCATAGTAGTAAATTAGAATATATATAAAAATTATTTCCATGTGGGCATTGTTAAAATAAAAGTTGACAATTTCAATTTATATTTTATCTAAGGAGTTCTTTTATTATTTGAGATAACTACTGTACCAGTAGTTTCTACCTCCTATTCTTGCTCACTTTACTAGAAGCCGAAAAGCTTGTCTCTACTGCCCCCATAGCTGGAGCTATAATAGATCACTGCTGACTTTAAGAAATGAAGGAAGGCCATTTGAGGACCAAAAGAAAGGGGTTAGAGGTCAGACCTAATTTTATGTATGTTTCTTAAATACTTTCACAATCACAGGTTTCACTGGAACTAGGACTTACCCTCAGAGGTGTTATAGTGGCTTAGTGGGTAAGGACTTGTACTGCCAACGCAAAGGCAGGCAATTTGATTCCCACCCAGTGCTCCGAGAGAGAAAGATAGTCTCCTCCCATGCAGCATACAGCCTCTGAAAACCAACTGGAGGGTCAGCTAGGAATTGGTTCTAACTCTGGCAGTGAAAGAGAGAGAGTGACTTATCTTTAAGTTAGATGTTGAGTATCTATTTGTTGACAGATTGCCGCAAAATATAATGATGGCATAACATAAGAAACCCAGAATACACATTATTTTCCATGTTTTTCATAATAGCCACATATGATCACTTTTACTTGATTAATAATACCCTATCTAAATGAGTATATCATAGTTGTTGTTGTGTGTCTTCAAGCTGGAACCAACCCATAGCTGACCCTCCAGCGTGTTTTCAAAGGCATTTAATCACATTGGAGGAGATTGCCCACCTTTTTCCTATAGGGCTGCTGGAGAATTTGAACGTCTTGCCTTCGGGATTGCAGCACAGCTTCTTACCATTTCGTAAATTAGCTCTTTGTTATATTGCTTACTTTATGTGTCCTTGGTCTTATGCGCATTAATTAAAGTAGCAGTTCAGTAGTAATAAAGTCATGCTGCTGCTTTAATGATTGTTTTAAATTTGTCTATAACTAATAGCTCTTCAATATGTCTAAAGGGTTTGAAGCTAGAAACTTAAAAGAAACTAGAAACACACAGAAGGAAGTTGGGTCATAATTCTACCTTTAACTTGGAGCTACTTAGTGACAAACAGAAATTATGTGCTTCTCAGAGAGAGAGAGCTGTTGTGGCTTAGTGATAAGGAGTTGCACACTACCAGTCCAAAGAGTAGTGGTTCAAATTCACCAGCTGCTCCAAAGAAGGATGGGCAGTCTCTTTCCATGCAATTTACTGCCTTTGAAAACCTGCTGTGAATAGGTACCAGCTCCAAGGCAATGAACAACAACTTGTTCTTAGGGAGGAGCCCTGCAGCGCAGTGGTTAAGCCCTCAGTTGCTAACCCAAAGGTTGGTGGTTTGAATCTGCCAGCTACTATGCAGGAGAAAGCTGTGCTAGTCTGCTTTCATAAAGATTATAGCTTAAGAAACCCAAGGGGGCAGTTCTTTCCTATTTACAGGGCTGTGAGGATTTGGAACCAATCTGATGACAGTTATCTCCCCCTTAGTTCTTCTTGTCTGAAAAGTTTTCAGGAGAGATAACGAGTCCTAGTAATAACAGTGATTTTATTGTTGTTGATAGGTGCTGTTGAGTCAGTTCTGATTCATAACAACCCCGGCGTACAATAAAGTGAAACACTGCTCATTTTGTGTCTCCCTCAAAGTCAATACTCTTTTTGAGCCCATTGATGGGATTGAGCCCACTGTATCGATACGTTTTGTTGAGGATCTTCCTCTTCTTCACAGACCTGCTATTAAGCATGAAGTCCTTCAGGGACTGGTTCTTCCTCACAGCCTGACCAAAACTCATGAGGGACATTTCACCATCCTCACTTCCAGGTAGCATCCTGGCTGTCCCTCTTCAAAAACAGTACCAGAAGGCCAGGTTACACTCAGTATTCTTTGCAAATACCATAAATCAAAGGCCTTAGTTCTTCAGTCTTCCTTATTCATTGTCTGTCTTTCACATGCATATGGAGCAGTTGCAAATTTCATGGCTTGGGTCAGGAGTACTTTAGTCCCCAAAGGTCACATCTTTTATTTTAACACTTTAAGGAGAAGTCTTTTGTTGTACATTTGCTGAGTGCATTATGTTGTTTGATTTGTCCGTCTACTGACTCTATAAAATTAAACACTTAACAAACATGTTTCCATTTATTTTTATGTTGCTTCTTGATCTAGTTGTGAGGATTTTTATTTTCTTTTATGTTAATGTGTAATCAATACTGAAATCAACTTGACAGCACTCAGCAACAAGATGTATGTTCCAGGCACTGTGTTAAATACTTTACGTGCATATCTCATGTGACCTCTGTGAAACAAGGTACTATTATCATTTACATTTTACAATGAAAACAGGTTTAGAGACAGGAGAAGTAACCAAGGTCTCTTTGCTATGAGTGGCAAGGCTATACAGTTGCAGGGTTGTCAAAGTCAAAAGGTGTAAGAACTGAGAAAATGGAGACAGTGATAAAATTTAAGTGGCCAAAATTAATTTTGCAGTGATAGAGAGAAGTGTCTATGAGTCAAGCATTCCTGGGCAAAAAATTACAAAAGTCAAGTCACTGCTGAACGTTCTGCTGAAATTTTGCTTTGTGGCTGTACACATCAAATCTATGCTAGAATAATTTGGAGTTTAGATAAAAAGTATACAGTTGACATCAAACCACGATGCTAACTTTGCTTCAGGCTGTTAAGTATCTAAATTGTATAACTTTTGCTTCAGTCAGCATAAGGAGCAGGTTGTCAGGAAGTTTGACTTGACACGCCATACAGCTTTTGTCAAAAGTAGGAAAGAATCACGAGTTTCACAAGTCGAAGAAGTAGCCAAAGTTTGTTTACAAAGTTAGGAACAAAATTCTTTCTGTTAAGTAATTTAAACATTTCTGTAACTTACAAAAATGCATGTGTCACCACGACTTTTACCTCAAGAGCATTTTGGTAATATTTCAAACTAAGACTCCCAAGATTGTATGCCTGTTTCATGACAAATGTAAACATACAAATTGAAGTTGTTTAATAAACCAGCAGAAGTGTTTTGTCTTTTTCTGTCAAATGCTTTTTTTCTGTGTCTTATGAAAACTTAGAGTATGTTCTGCTTCTACTAGAAAGTCCTTATCTTCTGTTGATGACTGTTCTTTGCCTGAGTAAACAGTTAGAAATTAGTTTTCTAATATATTTCTTCAGCCAAGAGTTTAGTTCACTAATACTAGTTAAGATGATTCTATTTTATTCATTTCGCCTACTGTGTATGAAAGTTTCATCTTCCCCCTCCTCTTAGGAAATATCTTTAAAGTTATTTAAAACCAAAATAATTTCCTAACTTTGCAGAACATTGGATAAAGCATCTTTTATAAATCTGCTTTACTACAAAGTTTATTGCATTTTTATTTCTTTAATATCTGCATTTAAGGTTCTGTTTGAATACCTACCTGTAATTCCCTTCTAATATTAATATCTCTTGTACAGTATCTTGGATTTGGAACACCATCTAATCTGGGCAAAGGCAGAAGGGCTGCAGCAGCTGCAGATCTCGCCAATCGAAGTGGGGAGTCAAACACTCACCAAGACATTGAGGAGAAAGATCGATTGTTACGCCACGTGGAAGCCAGAGATCTCATTGAATTTGGCATGATTCCTGAGTTTGTGGGACGGTTACCTGTGGTGGTTCCTTTGCATAGTCTAGATGAGAAAACACTTGTGCAAATATTAACTGAGCCACGTAATGCGGTTATTCCTCAATACCAGGCCTTATTCAGCATGGATAAGGTTAGATATTTTTTATATTTTCGTAGTTAGTGTGTGTCTTTTTTGCTATTGGAATCATGTACATAACTTAGTCTAATAAATCTTAAAAACCATCTTGTTCACATGGAATACTAGCCTATTCTTCACTATACAGCAACATTTAGGAGTTGGTTTTATATTTTCCTAATGAAAATTATCATTGTAGCATAGTGCCCAAAGATACGCACAAAGACATACATGATGCCAGAAGATAGCCCCTAACTCCTCTAAATCAGACAACGCAGGAATGTCGTCCTTGCTTGTGACATTCTTTGTATATATTTTGAATATATTTGTCTAAGTAATGTTTATTAATTCCCTTATCATTCAGCAGCCGATACCGGCAAATCACTGTCACACACATTCAGTGAGCAAATTTAGTTCTTAAGAATGTAGCGTCTCTAAATATCACTTATCTTTTCTCTTTTATTGCTGTTGCTTCAGGTCAAATAATTTTATCCTCCTTCAACCTTGACATAAGTGCTTGTCAGAATGCTTATGTCCTAATTGCGCTCCTTGTCTCAGACTTATTTCCAAAATGTATCACTTAAAAATTGCAAGTACTCAGCAAGAAAGTATTCATTTAAATACTTAAATAGCTATGTATTAAATGAATAAATACAAAGAAAATATTAAATACTTAAATAGCTATGTATTAAATGAATAAACACAAAGGTAATCCTTTGCTTAATACCCTTCAGTGACTCCTAGTCTTAACTTTAGTGCACCACCTTTGTACTCCTTTAGTCATATGCCTGCTGTAAATCCTAGTTTGCTAATCCATCATCATCTTTTTCCTTGAGGGCACAAACTATCTAATTCATCATTCAGTCCCTAGTGTGTAAGCATAGAGGAGTTCAATAACTGTTGACTAAACTCCTCTAATCCTCTTCAGACTAAAAGCAAATTTGTGATTCGTTACATTGGTACTTACATAAAATAATGGAAACAGTTGGTTCTAAAAGGCACAATACTAACATACCAGGTTCCTTGAGACTTAGTTGCTTTCTTAAATTTTACATTTCCTAGAGGCTAGGATCTTGTGAAATCTGATGTTCCAAAGTATTTTGTGATGTGTATGTTTAAAGCAGGAGTGGCATCCACATCCTGAGTAACATGCCTCCGAAAACTCTATGAACTTTGATAAATGTCCATAGTTGTAGAGGGGCTTCAGGCCTTTTGTTCATAGGATCACTATGAGTGATGCTTGACTCAAAGGCAATCAACAGCAACATTTACATTGTATTCTCAATTTGATCTTTGCTATTTTAAGATTTGTGGTAATTTTAGGTACTTGTCTGAAGTTTTACCTTTGTTCTTTAGTTTTAACAGAGGGGAGGTCAGTCAAGGTCAAGATTCTAATGCTTCTAAGTATCAGTGAACCCATTTAGTTGGCCCTCTGTCAGTGAGTAAGCTACTCATGTCTTTAAAGTCAGGACTTTGGACTCCTGTGGCTCTAAAATTCTGTTATTCTAGGAGGAGTAGTAATACTGTACCTAGAGATAGGTAGTAATAATGAATCAGTACCATGTGATTAAAAAAAATACCATGTGATCAAAGATTACCCTAAATTCTCATTTTAATGTCTTTGTAGTGTGAACTGAATGTTACTGAGGATGCTTTGAAAGCTATAGCCAGATTAGCACTAGAGCGAAAAACTGGTGCAAGAGGCCTTCGGTCCATAATGGTAAGTTGGCAATACGATCACAAATTATTTCCTGAGCTGAAGTTTCAGACTTTCAAGCCTCTTCTTCATTTGGAAATACAACAAGAGAAATTAACTTAAGGGTTTTGTTTGGTTTTTTTAATTTTTGGGTTTTTTTTTTTTTTAAAGGGGTTTTTTTCTGTTAAATAATCTTTCTTTCTGCTTTTATAAAGTATTTGCTACTAAAGGGCACGCACATAATAAAATAGAGGGAAAATCAGGATTTTTCTGAAAATGAGTTTTAAGAAATTTTACATAGGCCTTTTGACCAAGTTGCAGTACTCTTTCTTGGTCCCATTGAAGCCCCCCTTCCTGTTTCTTTGCTTGAAAGTAAGTTGTAGGTGCCATAGGACTTTACTCCTAAATTTTTTAGCATGGCATAAAGACTCACAGTTATAAATATTTTTATAGTTAAGGACCAAACCTATATTCCTGCCACTTACTCTCTTCCTTGGCCACCAGCTTTGGCGCTGCAGTAGGTTTGTGCTCCAACTCCCTTTTATGGATTTCATTGCTAAGTAACATTTTGCTAAACAGGAGTTCCAATTTGAGATATACATCCATTACAGACAATTTGAGATTATAATAAGCTGAGAATCTGGACTTCTGGTGTTATTGATAAAAGGATAGCATTATAAACATGCATGTAGTTGGCATTTTTAAGGTAGTTTTAAGGTACTTGACCGTATTTTCCTTTGAGTGAACAAGTTTCTGTCTATTCCAACATTTGAGACAAATGCTCATGCATATGTGAAGGGCTTGGCAAAAATAAGTTAGGAATATACAGTTTTCAGAGTAAGAATTATCATTTGACTTCTGTCATAAGGTAAGTCAGGTGATGAAAGTATCTGGAAATATACTTATTATACTTATATACTTATTATGTGCATACATAATGACCAAATTAGGTAGCACTACAGACAAATCAGTGTTTCCTTACAGAATGACTTCTCCCAGAACTTTGTTAAAAGCTGTTTTGATAGGAAAGTATTTTCTGTATAATTCCATGTAATGCATCACTTTTTTTTTCTCTTTAGGAAAAGCTGTTACTAGAACCAATGTTTGAAGTTCCTAATTCTGATATTGTATGTGTGGAGGTTGACAAAGAAGTAGTAGAAGGAAAAAAGGAGCCAGGATACATCCGGTAAAGTATATTATCAAGCCAGTAGATGGCTCAAATTTAAGATCAACTCCTTATTGCTGTAATGTATTGGTCTGTTATAAAAATGATATTAAAACCTTTGTTTTTGTAAAGGAAACAATAAGTTCACACCATTTTGATTGGTCTTGAACAGTTTACTTCAAAGAGACATAATCTTTGGCGTGCTCTGGTGGCATAGTTGCAAGAAGCTGCACTGCAGTCCCAGAGTTGTGCGGTTTGAATCCACCAGATGCTCTGCTGGAGAAGGAGGCACAATCTTCTCCTGTACCAGTCAGATCTGATTTGACTGTACACACATACACACAAAATAATAAAATAATTTAAAAATCTTTATTAAAAAAAGAAAGATATAATCTTTAATGTCATTGATGTGTAACTTTTAAAAAGGTGAAAATTGTAGTAATCTATACCAGCAACAAGAGTGGCTTTAGTGGCAAGGAGTTGCACTGCCACCCCAAAAAGAATAGTGGTGATCTGACTATTAATTTTGACTAATTTAAATGCAGGTGGATTTAATTAGAAATCAGGTTCTCCCACTGATATGTGCTAAATGTCAAGCAGCTGAGTTATAATTATAGATTATGCTTAATTTCCTGAATAAAAGGATCTTTTTGTTAAGTCTTTACAATTAAAGTTTTTTCCATTTAATTAAGTCCAGCAATCTGTTCATCCTTGATTTTTTTCTTTTAAAATTTTTGGTGAAAATATATCACAGCAAAAACAGCTTCCATTCCATAGTTTCTAGACATAATAATCAGGGACATTAGTTTAATTTTTCCTAGTGTGCGAACATTCTCATTTGTTTTTGTTTAGCTGTTTAATTTGTATTTCATTTGTTTGTCTCTCACTTTTCTCATCTGTGCTTTAAATTAGCTGTTGCTGTTTGGTTGGTTTTGAATACATTTTTTTATTCTTCATTTTTATTTAAAAACCCCCTCAAAATACTGATGGTCTTTCTATTTTAGGGCTCCAACGAAAGACTCCTCTGAAGAGGAGTATGACTCTGGAGTTGAAGAGGAAGGGTGGCCTCGCCAAGCAGATGCTGCAAACAGCTAACTTGTCAGACTCTTGTCCTGTATATAAAGCTTTTCCTTCTTTTGCTTAGGATCATAACTGTCTCTGCAGTCTGACATTAAAGGAGTTGGATCTGTCTATCTTGGATAACATACATGGTCAGCAACCTTTAGGACAAGAATCAGATCATGTATTATATTGTAATATCACATTGATTTATAACAGTGGACATTATGTGGACTTCAATGATACAATGTTCTGAGATTAAAATGTACATTACTTTGGTTCAGTTTTTTAAAAATATGCTTTAACAAAATTCTTAAGTCCTTTTAAGCAATGCAGGTGTTGCAATAACTCTGAATTTTACAATAATGTTACTCTACAAATGGGAAAATAAATTATTTCAAATTGAAGATTGAGGTACCATTCTTTAGTTTAATCATTTTCCACCCACATTTGTGACCCAAAGATTCAAGAATTTTATTCATTTAAAAACTGGAACAGGTAGTTTCCAAATAGTTAAAATTTAATGAGAAATAATCCTAAAGAAACACATTTTGATAATTTCTGTTACGTTCTTAGTCTTAACCTGTTAATGCATGACACTAAGTTCCAGTTAGCGCTGTGGAAAAAAGCCTCTGCTGACTTACCTGATGTGTCATCTTGGATCCATTTTACTACCGTGAGTGAGTCGGTGGAATGAAATCTACCTTAAATCTTCAGAAAAAGATGCTATGTCTAATTTTATAAATAGCATGCAGTATTGGTCATAATAACAGCCATGTGCTGAATGAAATGAAATACTTGAATATTGTGCAATACCTAAAATAACTGAGCTAGTGTGTATCTGGTTTTTAATTTTGTTTTCGGTCCTGAATATTTTTTAGCTTCATAAGACATTAAAGAAAGTGTATGTTTTGCTTTCAACTAAAGTAAATTTGTTCATACTAAAAAGTATTGGGCCTTCATTATATACCAGAGGTAAAATGAAGATGATTTGGGGCTTAAAAATTAAAATTATTTGAGTCTACAAATAGTAAAATATTTGGATACCTTTTAAATTTTTTTCTATGTTAATGTTTCATTCAGGTCAACTTCATTTGAAATTATTTAAATTTGCGTACATCAAAATGCTTGTTTTTGTATTTTGGTTTATAAATTCTAAAATATTCCTTACCCTTTTTTCAATAGGAAAAGAACTTTTAAGCTATTGTTGTTGTGTGCCATCGAGTCACCTTTGACTCATAGCAACCCTTATGTACAATAGCTCTAAACCCTGTGCCCTATCCTGAGCCAATCTTACTGACTCCAACACAGCTATTCACAAATTCTAATCCTGTCAGATTGGGCTTTATGATACAATAAAAGCAGTATAAGAAAGACATCTATTCATGGCGTGGGTAACACTAGAAATATACTTTTGCTGGAATGTAGGCCTGGTTACTACAGGTTGGCACAGAAACAATTATCTTTCTTTAATCTCCTCAAAACCTAGAACCAAGTGCTGTCGAGTAGAATTTCAACTCATAGTGAGCCTGTGGGACAAGGTTTTCAAGGCTGTAATCTTGGACCCTGTAGGTTTTTTCCGAGGCTGTAGTCTTCACAAAAGGTGCTCTGGTGGGGTAATGGGTTATGTGTTTTGCTGCTAATGGAAAGGTTAGTAGTTTGAATCCACCAACTGGTCCTTGGGAGAAAGATGGGCACTCTTCTCCCCTAAAGATTTACAGATCAGAAACTTAACATACAAGGGACAAGACATCATGGATGAGAATCTACCAGATTGTAGCGGGTATGGGTAGGCGTCACAGAGGCAGACTGACTTTCTCCCTCAGGTCACTAGTGGGTTCAGACAGACAGCCTTTGTGTTAGTGGTGAAGCGTTGACTTGTGACACCAGGGTTCCTTTTAGTCTTTTTAGTAATGGTTCATATTCTTTTAAAGAAGTCTTTCAGATTGTAACTATGTTCATTATAGCATCATCATTTTCCTTTTTGTAGAGTGAAAATTGGAGTAGCTTCTAAATACATTAAGGTTGTTCTTCCAAAAATGGACTGAGAGACATTTTAGTCACAACTTAACATTTAGTTTTGGAAGTTGTTAACATAACTGATGATTTTTAAATCACAGCAATATAACTACAATTTGTACATTGAAACTCAATGTTTTGGCATTTAAATAAAACAAAAAACTCTACGTGAAAGCCAGTGTGGTGGTGTGTCCTTAGAGCAAGGGTGAGGGCACAGTCAGCCAGAAGAGCAGTTTCCAGCAGGGCCCAGGAGTGGCATGAGTGCCTTGATTTGCAGAATTGGTTAATCCTTGGCACTTTCATGTTCATCTGATAAGCTCTCCAAGCTTGTCAGTTACACAAAAAGTAGAATTAAAACTTGTTAAGTATTTGTCAAAATCGTTATTTAAATGTTCCACATATAACCCAACACTAGAGATAGACTGAGGTTTTCAAGTCTCTGCTGTGAAGATGGCGTTGAAAGTGAAGAAGGAAGCCCTTGCCCTTCCCAAAAAAGGCCAAGAAGGCAGTCCTGATGGCTATCGACAGCCACAAATAAAAAAAAAGATCTGCATGTCACCCACCTTCCGGTAGCCTAAGATGCTGAGACTCTGAAGGCAGCCCAAATACCCCCAGGAGAAACAAGCTTGACCACTATCAATCATCAAGTTTCCCCTGACCACTGAGTCTGCTCTGAAAAAGATAGAAGATAACACACTGTGTTCATTGTGGATGTCAAGGCCAAAAAGCACCAAATCAAGCTGTAAAGAAGCTCTGTGACATTGACCTTGATTAGGCCTGATGGAGAGACAACTTGCTCCTGACTGTGATGCTTTGGTTGTTGCCAACAAAATTGGGATCATCTAAACTGAGTCAGAAGGTCAAAGACTGTAGTCTTCAATATGGATTGAAGCTCAACATCAAGAAGACAAAGATTCTCACCACTGGACTAATTGGCAGTGCTATGATAGGTGGGACAAGAGATTGAAGTTGTTAACAATTACATATTGCTCGACTACACAATCAACATTCTTGGCACTAGCAGTCAAGAAATAAAGACTTTGCACAAGTAGCACAATAAAAAAAATTGATGAGAGAAAAAAAATAAAAAGACTAATTGCAGTGGGAAAATCTGCTGTCAAGGACTTCTCCCGAGTATTGGGAAACAATGATGTCACTCTAGAGACTAAGGTGTGCTGATCCAGGCCATGGTCTTCACAGTTAGATGCTGTGCATCAGAGAGCTGGACAATGACTAAGGATGACAGAAGAAGGATAGATGCCTTTGAGTTGTACCGAAAAGAGTCTTGAACATACCATGGACCACCAAGAAAACAAGTCTGTCTTGGAGAAGGTAAAACCAAGTCTCTCCTTGGAGGTTAGGCTTTTGAAGCTGTATCTCACATACTTTGGGCACGTGACCAGGAGAGACTGGTCCTTGGGGAAGGACATCATCTTTGGAAGGGTAGAGGGACAGCACAGGAGAGGAAGACACCTGGATGAGATGGACTGCAGATGAGATGGATTGATAGAGTAACTGGGGTAATGGTGGTAGGCGTGTTGGAGTCAGTGAGACTGGCTCAGGGCAGGTTTCAGAGCTGTTGTACATAGGGTCTCTCTGAGTCACAGGCGATCGAAGGCATATAACAAACTGAGTCCAGCTGGCTAATTTGAAGTACAAATTTTTCTCACACACAAAAAAAAGATCTTGCTAGTCTCTGGAGAGGTAAACACAACTTCAGTGCATTATGATAGTGGAGATGAAGTCTGGACCAGCTGCAGTAGAACAAGGGGCTAGTTTAAATGGTCCGGAGGAACAGGTAGGAATTTGCCAGAAAAGAATAATGAAAACTAAGTCTCACAGAGGGAGCGCTGGTGCCGTTATGGGAAAGGATATGCAGCTCAGCCTCTGAAGAGTCAGCTGTGAGTGGATCCCAGGTCGATGGCATGCAACACTAAGTCTCAGAAGTGTAAACCAACAAGGGAAGCTATGTCTAACAGCTTCGGTATCTGCTATGAAGTGACAATATTCTCCACCCAACTGAAGACAGCACCTTATTTCACTGAGATGGGACACTTGTCTTCCCACCAGGTCTGTAAATCTCCTGAAGGATTCTTGTTACGAAAACTCCTCCAGCTCCCATCACATTGATTTCGCATGTCTTTCAGTTCCTTTTTTACTTACTCTTTGCTGCGTTAACAGATTCCCTCACTCAGCCTTTCCCAATAGCATCTAACATTGTCTGCCATTTCCTGTATTTGAACAGATCTCACAAACTAATTTGTTGTCTTTCCAATAGCACCAAAAGCTCCACTAGGGTGAAGACTGTGCCTGTTTTGTCAGCTTTTAACTTAACACTTCCCAGAGCCATGTTCTTTTCATATTTGGTGCTCAAAAATTGTAAAGATATGCATAAATGTAAAATGTGCCATCTTAATTACTTTCAAGTGTGCAACCCCGTGGCATTAAAAACCATACCTAAAAACATCACCACTAAAGACTTTTCATTCATCCCAGACTACCCATTAACACTTATTCGTTGTTTCCTCCTCCCAGCTCATAGTAACTAACCACAATGTTCCTGTGTCTGCATTTGCCTATTCTGTATATTTCATATAAATGGGGTTATATTTGTCTGTTGTGACATATTTCACTTAATGGTTTCAAAATTCACCCATGTCATGTAATTACTAGAACTTCATTGCTCTGTATGGCAGAAAATAATCCTGTGCATGCTGCTTGTTGCAAAGTCCATTTCCACCCCTTTGGCAGAGTATTCTTTGAACAAAGTAACCATTTGATGAACACACCCATCAAGCTCTGGTGGCATATGGGTAAGTGTTCATCTGCTAAGTCAGTAATGTGAATCTCTCCAGTGCTCTATGAAAGATACAGCAGCTTCCACTGACACATAGGCTTGGACAGTCCCACAGGGTCACTGCATCAAAATCATCTCGACAGGTTTTTTATTATATATACCTTGATCTATATATCATACCTTATACAAAAATTAAAATGGATCATGCTTAAATGAAACTATAAAACTTCTGGAAGAAACAGAAAAGAATTGAAATTTAGGGCTAGGCAAAAAAATTTTTTAAATCCCTTAGACTTAAAAAAATAGTTTTCTTTTAAAAGTCCCTTAGACTTGACACCAAAAGTATGATCCATAAAGAAAAATTTATTAACCAGACTTTACACAAATGGAGTACTTTTGCCTATTAATACTTCTAAGTAAAATAGTGGACTAGACAGGTGGCAATTCTGACCCTCTTCACTGAAGACAGCAGAAAACCCTGAGATTAAAAAGAAACTGTAGGAAAACAGTATGACTGATGGAGTGTGATCATTCTGAACAGTCAGAACTTGGTTAAAGGAAGTATCCACACCAGGGGCTAACTGATGAGAAAGGTAT